TTTCAGAAACAAACCAATCACCATAAAAATCAGCAATTTTAATTTCTTTATATTCATTTTCCTCTTCGATTTTTTGGATTTTAACCACCACTTTTAATTTCCGGGGCCCTCAGGAGCCCCTGGAGCTGCTCCCAAAGGTCACTTTGGGAAAACGTGATTAAAACGGAGGAGTTGGCATCTCAGGCTAGTAGCAGCCTCTGTGCAGCTCTGCCCACCCCCACCCCCCTTTGGGCTTTGCAGGGTCTGACGTGGGGCTGCCTTGGGGTGTTACTGGGGGCAGGGAAAGGGCCTCTGTGTCCCAGGGGCCCCGGGCGCAGCTTTGGGGAGAGGGCCCACGCAGAGGGCTCCCTCATTCCAACATCTTCCTTGCTGAGTTGCATAGATGGTGGTGGAGGCTAATGACCATCCCCCTGAGCAAGGACGCCAGGGGGGCCATCCACGTTCACGTCAGAGTGATACTGGGGTGACCCCAGGCCCTGGTCAGGCGGCCCCCAAGAAGCTCCTGGAGGAAAGCTGAGGTCCAGTGGGGGAGGAACAGCTTCGGGGCCTCCGGGGGGACTGGGGTGAGGTGGGAAGGGAGGAGTCCAGGTACCTCTGAGGTGCCCAGAGGCAAAAGGGCAAAAGACCCCCAGGGGCGAGATGGGAGGGGGAGGGGGGGCCAAGGCAGAAGGCATTCAGAGCAGCCATGAAGACGGAGGCCGGAGGCTGATATTCTGGGCATCTGCCGTGGGCGACTTCACATTACCTCTGAAGAGCAACAGGTCCTCTCTTGCGGTCAAGAAAAGAAGAAGAAACGGAGGAGCCGTCATTGGCAAAAGGGGGATAAAGCAGTGACCTTGATTCAGAGCCCACCGACCTTACTCCTACAGGTTGTCCGTGACTTACAACTGTATTGGAGCCTCCCCATTAGGGCCATAAGTTGTGATGGTCATAAAACAGGTCACTCACGTGTCTGACCTGATTTTACAATTTTTTTTGCAGTGGTCATTAAGCAAACACCATGGTCATTAAGTGAACCAGTTGTTCACCGTAATCTGTTTTTGCTGAAAAACAATGCTGGTTTTTGGCAGAAACGTCGTAAAATGCAGCCAGGTGGCCATGGGGCAGTGCAGATGGTTGTAAATGCGGATCAATTGATGAGCGCCCGAAATTTGGCTATGTGACCGTGGGGGGGGCGGGGCCTTTGGATCTTTGGAACTGGGGGCTAAGCATCCCCAGTGTGATCTATTCCAACTTTGAATGGTTGCTTGGTTCCCGGGTAGATCCCAGTCGCTAGATCAGTGGGTCCCCATCTTTTTTTGGCCAAGCCCCACCTAAGCATGTCTAAAATCCCGATGCCCCCCCTCCCCCTGGTGACGCACAATTCCTACTTTACTCAAAAAGTGAACTCTACTCACGCGGAGGAAGCCTAAGAGGCCTCTTTTATTTGGTTTAAACAAGATTCAAATTGCCCCCATTAAAAATCAACTCCCCGCCCCCCCTGTGGGTCATGGGCCCCACATTGGGAACCCCTGCTCTAGATTGAGCCCCCAGAGTGGAAGGGAGTAAACGGGTCCGAGCATTTTCCATCAAAAAGAGGCATTCTAGGAGACTGGAGCGTTACAGTTGGAAGCGAACCAACATCTGGAAGGAGGAGGAGGAGGAGAGGAAGAGGATGATTTGGCTCCCCCAGAGGCCGGGCAGGGAAGATCAGACATTCTGGCCGGGCGAGCAGAAAACAGGAGAGCCGGTGCCCAAGACAAAAGGATCGGGCTGGCCAGGAGGGTTTGACCTCAGCCGTACTCCGTATGAGAATCAGGCGGTAGGGCTAAAAATAGATGCCATGAGTGAGTAGCCAGAATGATGTCATGGAGCAGAAATACTCCAAAAACGCTGCTAAGCAAATAAGGTGGGGAGACGGTCGGCTGACAGGTTGAAAAACAGAAGGAAGCAAAAGAGACCAGAGAGGAGAAATTGCGCTGCACAGACGGGAAGGAGGAGGCTGGAAGGGCAGCTCCAGCGGAACCTCAAGGACAGGATTTTGATTCCAGAAGATCTGGGGAATCGAGAGAGCCTTTTCTATTTTTNATTCTGGGAGTTGAAGTCCACAGGACTTAAAGTCACCAAGGTTGAGAAACACTGGTCTAACATGACCTCTGGCTGGGTTTTCGTTCTTGGGCCTGGCACTTGGAGGGTCCCACAGCTTCTGGGTCGTCACGGGGGTTTCTCTGCAGCTTTGGGCAGGGACGGTGTTTCTTTCTTAGCCCTCCCTTCAAAGGGGGGGGAGCCTAATGGCGCCTCTGGTTTCTTGCAGCCCGCACCCAGTCAAACCCATGAGAAGCACGCCCGGCCCAGAGTCCCCACGCAAGGAGACGGCCGGCCTTGCTTCCAGCCTGAGCCATGGCCAGATCACAGGCCAGGAGCAGCTCGCCCCCATGTCTGCCTTCAGTGGGACCTTCGCAGCCTCGGTGGTGCCGTTGGAGAAGATGGAGGCCAAGCAGCAGGTGAGGAGGTGGCTGGGCCACAGAGGTCTTCCTAAACGCCAGGAGCGTCTTTGCTGAACCTTTGGAGTTGGTGGAGTTGTCCCCTTCTCCTACCCGTTGTGCCCAAGCCAGAAGCGGCCAATCCTGAAGCCAGCCTGGGTTCCTTCCTTCAAACACTGGGCATCTGATTCCCACCCTCCCTGCCCCATTGCCAGGAGGCCTGGCCTAGTTTCCTGCTGCAGATTTTCAGTGGCCCACAGAATCTTTTGAGCTCCTGGGCTCGGCTCCCTTGGCACCTGCCACGAAGCCTGCCAGCTTCCCAGGGGCATCTCTGCCTGGTCTCTAGGCTTTGGCCAAGGACTGAGATTCTGGGCCCCGGACATGGCGGAAATGCTGTGCAGGGAGAGGGCGGAGTCAGGAGGGTCAACGGAGGACCGCCCTTGTGTGGCAGCCAGGAGGAGGAGGAGGGTCCCTCTCCCTGCCCAGCAGCCTTCTGGGGGGCAAAGACCAAACTGGGAGGAAAAGCAGCCCTCTGGGATGAGGGGGGCAGACAACCAGAGCCACAACTGAATAATCAAAGCCATTAGCTTTATTGTCTATTCTAAACCTGTTACAAGACTCTCCCCAGGCTGATTCCCTCCCCCTGAGAAGGTTCAGATGGGGCTCCTTGGTGTTGGAGGAGGTCCAGCTTCTGCCTCTGGCAGCTGCGCTAGGACTCCAAACTAGGCCCTCTCTTGACTCCTCCTCCCAGCCCATCGGGCAGTTTCCCAACAACCTCACCCTCTGTGGTCCCCAAGAGGCCCTGCTCTTCAGCCCCCCCTCATTTGTCTCTCCCCCCCCCTTGTGTCTCTGCAGAGCCCCTCCACCAAGTACCACCACCTGACGCGGGAGGAGCTGCTGCAACTTCTGCTGCGACGGGAGGCCGAGCTGGGCAAGAAGGAGGAGCAGGTGCGGGAGCTGGAGGGCTACATCGACCGGCTGCTGGTGCGAATCATGGAGCAGTCGCCCACCCTCCTGCAGATCCCTCTCGAGGATGGGGGGGTCAAGGCTACCCAGTAGCCCCCCCACCAGGAATCCATCACCCCTCCCTTCCCGCCTGGGGTTGGTCTGCCAAATGCTCCCCTCTTTTGGCACGGACAGCACCCCAGGACACCCTGCTTCCTCGGCCCCCTCTACCCCAGCCTGGGATCTCTGGGCCCCCAAATGTTACGGACTCTTCTTGGCACGGCGGAGCGTGTCCCAGGCTGCAGGGACTTCCTGGCCTGTCCCTTTGGGAACTTTGTCACCCCGACCCCACTGCAGTTAGGCAGCCTTCGCTGCCCACTTATGCCCCCCCCCCCCGTTCTCCCCTGGCTGAAAGGGAAGGTTTGCACACTGGGGGCGGTCGAAGGAAAAGCCACCCAGGAAAATCCGCCTGACTGGACAGAGCTCCTGGGACTATACTTTGCCTTGTTCCATGAGGACTAGTATCTTCCTCTGATTTGTTCAGTGTTCAAGGCGATGCCAGCACGCAGCACCTCGGAACCAGCCTGATCTTTTCCGGGCCATCTCAGGGCGATTGGTGCTCTGCCTGCCCCAGAGAAGTACCAAGGGCTGGCTGTGCATGCCAAAACCACCCTCCTCCGTCCCGTTCTCCCCCCCCCCCATACTCGGCCTGGAGGGTCTCTCTAAGGAAAGGAGGGGCGCATCTGCCTGAAGTGGTAATAAGACAAGACGTGCCTTTTTGACACCTCCCCTCCCCCAGAGAAAACCTGGCCTGCATGTAAGGATGCCCACTCAGCCGCCTTATTTACTGACCCCAAGAATCCCACAGCAAGGAGAGGAGGGGCTGCACAGGGGCTTCAAAGTCTGGGAGGAATGCCTTGGCTCCCGAGAGGCAGTTTGGGGGCTGACCCCCATCGAAGCCTAAGGGCTCTGTGCCACGGGTGGATGCCCTTCCTGGCAGCTTCAGTTGCTTAACTCTTCTGGAAAACCCACCTGTCACCCGCCTGGCTCCCTTGGCAAAAAGGCCTGGTGGGGGGGGGGCGCAACTGAAGGCCTGAATCAAGGCAGCCCAATGCCCACAGCATGAGGGGAATCAAATGAAAGGAACCCCCCCCCTTGGGAAATGGCTGGGCAAAGACGATCCCTTGGTTTTTGTTCATCCTGTTTCTGCCAAATGTTTTTACTGTTTGCCCCTTAAGCGCGGAGGGTGGGGCACATGACAAGGAGGGGGCTCCAGGAGAAGCTTTCAAGGTGGGGGGGCTGGTGGTCCTTGGCTGCGATGGGGGGGATTTGTGCCTGTTCCCCTTGAGCTTGCAGTGAGCGGCCTCTTTGGCTGCTGTCCCCTTGGTGGCCCAAAAGTCCACCCCCCCCCCATCTGGCCCGTCTTAGAGATCTGGGTGGGAGGTTGTCTGTCTTTGCTTTGGAGAAGCTCTGTGTGGTTCCCCCCCCCTGCCCACATCTGGCAGTAGCCACGTAGCGCCCCCCCCGAACCACCTTCTCCATTGCAGGCTCTGCCTTGTCCTGCGTGGCCTCTGGGAGGACAGAAGGCTCTTGTGTTAAGTGCTGTTGATAATGTTTGTTTCATAAAAGTTTTGACTCTTTTCTGTTTTAAGCACTTTAAAGACAAAATAAAAATGGTTGAATTGTTGCCTAGACAGTTCTCCTCCTTGTTTCCCAACAGCCCTTTTCACCACCCACCATTCCAAGATCCCCAGAGGTGCATCTTCCTCCGCCATAGGGAGGTGCCCAGCTGAGGGGAGGTGGGGGCGGGGGAGAGGCCCCTTTAAGGCAGCAGCAGGAGGGCTGTGGGCTGGCTGTGCACGCTGCCCTATTGCCAAGACCCAGTCTTGGGCGCTGCACAGAGCAAGCCGGTTCCTCTCTCCGCTTTCTGCTCTGCAGGGTGATCTTTTCCCTAACGGGCGCTTGTGGGGGGGGACCTGCTCTCCCCCCCCCTCCTTGTGCAGACTAACCTCCCCTGCAGAAGACGCAGGTGGGGCCAAGCTTGGAGGGCAGAGCCAGGCAGGGTAGGGGGAGCTTCTCCCCTGGTTGGCTGCCTGGCCCCCCTGCTGCCCCCCCCCCCGCCAGGCTTTGCAGGTGGGATGGGGTTTTCCTTCAGGGGTCCAGCCCCCTCCTCAAAGGTCTGCCAGAGAGATTATACAGAACGCATGAAGGCAGTGCGTGTTTAGGCTAGAAATAGGAAATTGAAGGAACATTGTATCATGCTTGGTGGCTTCGGGATGATACATACCTTGAATACAGAATGTTGATACAAAAGGTCTACATTAAATTGAAACCAGGAATTCTAGGATTGGTGGACACGTAGTTAGAAACGAGTCATGGAAGATAATAGATGGGAAGATGGGAAGATCTGCCCTCCAGGGAGGGAGGGAGGGATGGGCAGACCTCCCCGAGATGGGCAAACTGGCTTCTTTGATTAGAGAAGAAGAGTTATTTACGGACTTTCTGCGTAAAAATGAAAAAAAAAGGACTTGTGATTTAGAGTTTAGGGGCTTAGGATACATTATAGAACAAGAGCAATAAGCAACTTTGTTGTTGTGAATAGTGAAGTTGTGTCTGACCCATCACAACCCCATGGACCACATTCCTCCCGGCTTCCCTGTCCTCTCCCATCCTCCGGAGTCCATTTAAGTTCACGCCGACTGCTTGGGTGACTCCATCCAGCCCCCTCCTTCTCTGCCGTCCCCTTCTTCTTCTTCTTTTGCCCTCCGTCGTTCCCAGCATGAGGCTCTTCTCCAGGGAGTCCTTCTTCCTTCTCATTAGGAGGTCAAACTGTTGGAGTTTCCTCTTCCTTCCTTCTCATTAGGTGGCCAAAGTCTCTCTTCAGGATCTGGCCTTCTAAAGAGCAGCCAGGGTGGATCTCCTCTAGGACTGACTGGTTGGATGGCCTTACAGTCTAAGGGACTTTCCGGATACATA